CTGAGTCCATTCAATAAAGAGATTCTTTCACCTTGTGATGTTTGCTCTTTTTCTAAACAACATAGACTTTCTTTCAATAATTGTGACATTCAAACGTCTGATATATTTGACATTTTGCATGTGGATTTATGGGGACCATATAAGTATAAGTCTATTTGTGGAGCACACTATTTTTTTAACCGTGGTAGATGATTTTAGTAGAGGCACTTGGACATTTTTACTCAAGCACAAAACTCAGGTTCTTGCAACCTTGAAGAATTTGCACAAGATGATCAGAACTCAATTTGAAATCTTGAAATTTTAACCCCAGTTACTATCTCTTTATGGCTAACATATCTACAATCCAAGAACCAAAATTCTATAAAGAAGCTAGCACTATGACTGAATGGATTCAAGCTATGAAGAGTGAAATTGCAGCTTTGGAACAAAATAATACTTGGGGGATTGTTCCCCTGCCTCCAAGCAAGAAACCCATTAGATCGAAGTGGGTTTATAAAGCTAAGCTGAAGCCTGATGGCACTCTGGATAGATGTAAAGCCAGGCTAGTGGCGAAGGGGTATCAGGTGGCTGGAGTTGATTATGTGGATAGTTTTTCCCCTGTAGCCAGATCAGTAACAATCAGAATGTTTTTTTCCATTTCATCTACGAAACGTTGGCCTATATTCCAGCTAGATATAAATAATGCATTCTTGCACGGTTTTCTGGACGAGGAGTTATATCTTTGGCCTCTAGAAGGTTATAAAAAGGTTCGAGATGGTGAAGTGTGTAAACTGAAGATATCCCTCTATGGTTTAAAACAGGCTAGTCGACAATGGAATTCAGAATTCTACAAGCATTTACAGGTATATGGTTTTGTACAATCTGCACATGATAACTGCCTTTTTATTCTCCGTTCAAATCAGGCTATTACTATTCTTCTTGTCTATGTGGACGATGTTCTCATCACTAGAACGGACGACAATGAAATTCAGAAGGTTAAGAAGTTTCTTGATACTACCTTCACAATCAAGGACTTAGGTCATGCTAAGTATTTTCTGGGGATAGAGATAGCTCGTGGCTCAGCTGGTTTGTACCTTAACCAAAGAAAATATGCTATGGATATTATTGGTGATGTTGGTTTGATGGGATCAAAACCTGTGGATATCCCACTGCCAAAAGGACATCGTTTTACTGCTGATGGTCTTCCGTATCAATACCTTGATCAGTATCGTCGGCTTATAGGCAGGTTGCTTTACCTTAACCTTACCAGGCCAGACTTGTCTTATGCTGTCCAGCAACCAAGTCAATTCGTTAACTCCCCAACTGTCTCGCACTGGGAATCTACTTTGCAAATCCTCAGGTACATCAAGGGAACCATGTCTAAAGGTCTTTTCTTCCCTTCCTCCAACAGTTTCAAGCTCACAGCCTACTGTGATGCAGATTGGGCCTCCTGCCAGGATTCTAGGAAATCTTTAACTGGTTATTTTATTTTTTTGGGTGAATCTCTTATCTCCTGGAAATCCAAGAAGCAGCAAGCAGTCTCGCGAAGCTCTGCAGAGGCTGAATATCGGAGCATGGATGCAACGGTTTGTGAGATTCAATGGATTACACATCTTCTTCAGGATTTTTGCATTGAACTTCATCTTCCGATTCCTCTCTCGTGCGATAACCGTGCTGCCCTCCATATCAGTGCAAATCCTGTGTTCCATGAGCGTACGAAACATCTTGATATTGACTGTCATGTGGTTCGAAATCAGTACAAGGCTGGTCTCGTTCTTCCACAGCATGTTTCTTCCAATGCTCAGGTTGCGGATGTATTCACAAAGTCTCTTTCTTTTCCTCAGTTCAAGTTCTTGGTTTCCAAGTTGGGTTTGATGGATTTCCATCAAAATCCAACTTGAGGGGGGGATGTCCGAATTATATACAAACTTTTCCTCAAGGACCTAATTGATCATCTTGCATTAGTTTAGGTCCTTCTCTGTAATAAAGATAGTTTGTTTTAGTTCGTTTACGTTTTTCCCTCTTTTCTTTCCGTCTATAAATAGACTCAATTGCTGTAATTCAATCTTCAATTGCATTGAGTGAAATAAATAAATTGTTGATTCTCTCAGTTTGAACAGCAAGTAATTGAGTACCCATAATCTATTGGCTTAGAACAGTTGAACAAAGTGAATCCGTAACTATATCCAGATTTTTCTGTATCAAACGAAAGCTTATTCGGAAAGCAAGATTGCNATTTCCATCAAAATCCAACTTGAGGGGATGTCCGAATTATATACACATTTTTCCTCAAGGACCTAATTGATCATCTTACATTAGTTTAGGTCCTTCTTTGTAATAAAGATAGTTTGTTTTTAATTTGTTTACGTTTTTCCCTCTTTTCTTCCCGTCTATAAATAGACTCAATTTCTGTAATTCAATTTGAATAATATAGAGTGGAATAAATAAATTGTTGATTCTCTCAGTTTGAACAAATTTCCACTAATCTTTCATTAGTGAGGCCAAAATTTCTTCATTAGTGATGGAGATTGATGCACAGTCGATAATTGTCGACATTATCTACGAAGGTACATCTAAATAAAAAACAAACAAAAGAATTATGACTGCACAAAAAAATCGCAAGGCAAACAGGTTGAAAGTTTGTTTATCCAAAAGCTAGATGGAAATTCCATATTTTAATATTAATAATTATATAAATTAAATTACACCCCACCTTCTCACTGTCAATATCTCTATCTACTCTCTATACTCCCTCTTTATACCATACTCTCTATGATCTCTCTCTCTCTCTCCATTGTCTATTAATATCCCTCTTTATCATTTTATTATCTCTACACTACCTCTTCCTCCCATTTCTTCTCTACTCTCTTTGGAAACAGGAAGCATAAATCAATTTCTAAGATCTCACTTTTCGATTAGCTTTGTTTTGGATCGATGGAGTTAAAAATCAAGTATATCCATGGAAAATAATGTTTTTGTTGGAGAAGACAGCATAGATGAAGCTTATGTGACTATGGCTAAATTGGAAGGGACCTAAGGTGTTGATGGGCGCAGCTGAGGTGGTTGACGACATGGTGGTGTTCCTTCGTGATGGGTCCTGGAGGTGAAGGATATTTCTTATGCAGAAACTGACCTTTCAATTTCGGTTTTGGGTTTTGTTGAGGGGAAATAATGAAAATTATTGGTGGTTGTGGTTTGGTGAAAAAGGTGATGATTTTGGATTTGAAGTGGTGGTGGCGGTTGTGGCGGTGCTTTTGCTTTTGAAGGGGGCAGCACATTAGATGATTTTGTTGGTGATTTTGCAAATGGGGATAGTGGTGATGGCCAAAGATCATGTTTGCAGGTCACGAGTCATAATCAGTTGGCGTTGATAAGTCGCATGACACGCGTCAAAAGTCATTTTGCATAGGTCACATATAAATATAAACAGGTAGCCAATCAAAGAGAACAGGTCACGTGTCACACTCCACTGTTAACATATCAAAGTTGATAGCCCACACATCACTAATTTATGTTCATACGTCACATGTTATAGTTCATAGGTCACGTGTTACAGTTCAAGTCACAGGTCAAATGTCATATTGAATATGTCACATATTAGTTCATATTTGGTATACATTTTTTTAAAATTTATTTTCAACCACGCATTCTACAATAAAATAATATTTTTCATCATATCAATAATTTTCCTTACTTTTTAACCACATATTTCCTATCATATCACTGTTTAAAACACACCCTTAATGTTAGCCGATCACGGATTATTTTGCATAGATAACAGATCCATTTCCACAAGTCATAAATTTAAGAGAATTGGTCACTGGCCATTGGATCAGTATCACAAATAATTTATTGTCAAAAAGTTAGAAATTCAAGAGATCTGGTCACGTGCCATTGTTTTCTCTAAAAACCAGTTGTCCGAATTGGTCACATAATTAAGTCAGTTATCAAAATTACTATTGTTCAATCCCAATTCATTTGATTTAAATTGAAAAATCCCAAAAACCTACACAAATATCAACTTGTATCAGTTAATCTAGCGCACTAGATACGGCCCTTGAATCAATATTGCACACGAGCACAATAACGGGAAGAACCCTAATCAACATATCCAAGGTCACAAGAGGATATAACACAAGTTTTCTGCAGTGGATTGGTAACATTTATCAGTCAAATTTCACTTGCTTTATTAGTATTGATACTTGATATATGACTTCTCCAAGATCTTTAATCCCCCAAACCCCTTTGATTTCCAATTTACAATACTAAAATGTCAGGAACTCATGACATAATTACTCTTTCATTTATAATTATAAATATAACATAGGCTAAAAATGTAATAAAAACACGGGGCGAGGCCGGGACGTGACTCGATGTTGTTATTTCATGGCTCTTGATTTAAGGAATTCTTCTCACGTACATCTGGTTTTACATCAGTGTCAGTTGTGGCGTTGTCAAGAATGTTTGATGTTTTCTTGTACACCACTGGCAATTCATCATGGGACTTGTTTTCCTCGTACATTAACTTGTCTGAGTTTGAATTCTCTTTGCTCTTACCCCATACAACTGAGTAGAGTCCAAACACAATGATAATTGCTCCTATTAAGCTGCAAGTACAAATATACACACACTTTAAACTACTAATTATCGAACGATCGTGGATCAAGAAATATAAATGAAGACCATAATTGATAAAAAATCTCATGTTAAATTAACGAGTGCAATGTATGCAAATGATGTGTGCATTATGGACAACTTGTTTGGTGTGTGTTTCCACGAGTGAGGATTGCAAAAGAGGTTGGCCATGGTAGGGCCACGTTTTCCGTTCTCAACCCGAACCCCGACTAACGGGGAAAATCCCCACCCTATTCAGGGTCGGGCAACACGGGACAGAGCGAGCTTTTTCCCTTGCAACCGTTATAAATGTCGAAGCAACTTTTCATGACATGGGACGATTGTTAACTGTTGTATAAAGTCTTCGAAACAGATTTTACCCGTCATATAAAATTCATAAATATAATGAAAGTTATTGACTTATTCAACTACATTACGAGCTCGAAAGTTACCTTCCAAGGTGAATTTGCTCTGCCAAAACCATGGATCCCAAAATAGCTGTGATTATCATGCTTAGAGGACTGAATGCGGTCACAAACACTGGACCTCTTATCTTGTTGACAACACTTTGTAGATAATATGCAATTCCTGAGCAAACAATCCCCTGCCATGAAGTACATATATTTAGATACAATATCAAATAAAGAAGGAGACTTACGAATTACTATAGGTTGATAGTCAACATAAAATTTTGTCACATATTGTGATATGACTCTAGCTAGGCATGAAACTATGACTTAAATTAGACGAAGTGTTTCAATATTTGCATTCCTTGAAATTCTATAACGTTTTGTTAGAGAAAGCTCCTGAGACCGTTTTAGGGGTTTTGTCGTCTCGTCTATCTCTATTCTCTCAATTAGTAATAAACAAAGTTTTATTCTCAAAACACGAGCGTGTTTGATGAAGTTAAATGGTTGTCGAGAATTAGAAATCATAATTCTTTTACCATCAAGAGCAATAAATTTACAGAAAGAAAATAGATACAAGATCGCACAAAATTTATAAAGGTTCGTTTCGACATGAGACTACGTTCTCTTCCATTGTTGCAGTAATTTTACGTACTAGCTTCGCACAGACAATAATTAGGCTCCAAAACTTAACAAAATGCACAACAATCAACACAATGCATGAAGGAAAAAGCCAAAAATACTATATCTCGTATTGTCCAGCGTTATCGTATACTATTCTATACCAAACATGTCTTTATGATGTTAATTATATAAATTATTTTTCGTCCTAATTATTGAAATTCCACTCACAGAATATGCAGAAGCAAGAAGTCTTGAGTCAAAACCAATTGCCCAGGCACTGGTATGGCGTTCCATTATCACAGCCACAACTCCACCTTCCACCATCCCCATGAAACAAACTAATGACGTAAGAGAGAGCTCTGCAGGATATTCCTTCAGTGTCTTATTCTGTTCAAACCATATCAATATTTTAAATTAATTAAATCTAAAAGAATTATTTTTTTCGATGAATTAGTGCATACATATGTGACATATTGGATAAGCTTGATTAGATGGGACTAGATATAATTTTGTAATGATCTTGTCTAATCCTATCCGGTCGGGAATAGAACTTACTTGGAGTATAAAGAAACCGGACCAACCCACAATACAAGAAAGCAACATAATTGTGCCGGCGACCCAGTGCTGATCGGCTGAGCCACTGGTGGTGATTTCATGGTGGCTTCCGCCTAGTGAGTGGGGAAGAATATCGACTACAGGGCCTTTATAGAATGTCATGAGCATTGTACCTAAGAGTGTTATTCCAGTTCCAATCACCTTTGCCAGACTGTGTAGCTGTTTTAAGTTAACCTTCTCCATCCTGTAAATGTGAAGTATATATCATCAGCTTAAAATTTATTTACAAAAGCACAAAATTTGCCTACACGGGAAACGTAAAAATGATTTTTATTTATTTATTTACAAAAGTGTCTACATGTCATGAGGGACCAGGTTATCATCTTGGACATTTCACAGACGAACTAGGCTGGCTGGGGTCTTATGCCATGCACATCAATCTCACTCACTTTTCACCTTGACTCTTTCAATCTAGAGTAATACAAAATCTTAACGTAAATGATTTGGGAAAGTAAAGATATACCTGAAAATAACGGCCATTATGAAGGTGATGGCTGGGAGAACGTTGGCAGTAGCAGCTGTAAAAGTTGCTGATGTAAGCTTCATTCCAACATAATACAAGTTCTGATCCAGCACAGGCCTGATAATAATACAAAAACGACAAATAAGTTAAAATTTTGTGTATTGTACTGCCTAGTCGTGTTTGTTTTGGGTCTGTTTGGATCGACTTAAAATCTGATTTTAATCAAAGTCAAAGTCAAACAATCAATATTAACCACATCTTTCATGGATCCCACATCTTTTCAACAAGAAGTTTCAAAAACTTCTATCACAATTCACTAAAAATCTAATTTTAATCTCTACCAAATACTCGAAATATGATCGACTGAACTATACTATTAGATGAAAATCTTGTAAGATGGTGCAGAAGAGCAATATATTGTAGTAAATAAGTGAAGTGATCTAGAAGATTACTCCAGGAAACCAAGCAGCATTATCTTCCAAAAGACTGATAGAGTTAGCTTAGGCCTTGTTTTCCTGCAAAATGACATGCAAATAGCATGGTTACACACACACACAAAATAAAGGAATTTATATTATAAGGAAAAATAAAAATAACATGCATGTATGTATGTATGTATGCACATATATATGAAAGATTGAACGTACTGACCTTTCGAGAAAAAATGCTAAAGGCGCAAAAACTATCGTGGCAAATGCATGGCGATACACGACTAGAATCCAATGACTGAACCCATGCTTGAAGGAAAGCATGGTGATAATGTACATTCCGGCGTAGCCGAACTGTAGAGACACCATGGCCATATAGGGCTTCATACTCCCCCATAAAGTTTGCTCTCCCATTCTCTCTCTCTAATTTTTCTTTAGACAATTGTAAATGCCTGAGATACACAAAAATGGGAAGATTTGAGCTTTTATATATACACAATTCAAAAGCAAAAAAGATTGAATAATTCTTGTGCATTGGGCACTAACTCTATTCCCCTTTAGGATTCTCTGTCCATCAAATTCAAGAAACTAGAATCTTTCCACTAATAAAAATAATGCTAAAAGAAAGATATAATAGTTTTCCATGAATCTCCACCACATGTTAAATATTTTCTAGGTTTAATTTAATTTATTATTGGATAACTATTCATTCTAAAAGATAATTTTGAAATTAATTCAAAACATGTCTTGTCACTTGCGTGTGGTCATGATCATTTTCTTATTTAGGGTGTGTTTGAGCCACATTATTTTGAAAGAATGTATTTTAAAATAGTAGATTAATGGATAATGTGTGGTTGAAAAGGAATCAAAATTTATTGATGATGGAAAATATTATTTCATTGAAGAATGTGTGGTTGAAAATGAGTAGAAGAATAAGAATAAAAATTTTAATGTGTCTCAAACAGGGACTTAATATTTGACCTGTGCATAATTATCCTATACATGTGACACTGCGATTCGAGCTCAATTTTATTATTGCTTTTATCCTATGTTGAACCACTCATTTATTTATTAAAGAAGCAACCCACTAAATTAATTTTATTATATTTTGCAAAATGACCACATATTAGGGTTTAGTGCCATGTGATGCAATGTAGGATTAATTGTGCGATGATGAGTGTACACCTTTCTTGAAAATGCCATGCATATTTATCTTGTTGATTAGGGCTAATTATCTTTGATTGGATGTTTTTCTTTATATCAATAAATCAAATGGTAGTAGCTTATAAGCCAATAATTATGTTGTCCTCAGGTTGCTCAATTGGTCAGATTTTGGATTTGCTCTTCAATGGTCACCAGTTCGAGTCCCCTCAGGGCCGCTGAGGTGAGTACCCGACCGTAAATTTCAGGGCCCCGTGGAATTAGTCGAGGTGCGCGCAAACTGGCCCAAACATCCACGGTTATTAAAAAAAA